ACGGCCTCGTGTCCGGAAGTTCCGTGCGTTGTCTCAACTCTTGACCCCTCGACAACTGGGATATATGCGGAAGTTTGCTCAGGTCGATCCTGCAGGGCAAACTTGGCACACCATTCACGTAGGTGAGCGGTGGGAAAGACTGAATCAAACTGGATGCCCGTGACGACGGTCTCTTGTACGGACTGTCTCCTCCTGTCGGTGTATTCGCAGAGGTGTATTCCTCCACGTAGATGCCACATTTTCCTCCGCCTTTACCGCCTTTCCCTCCTTTACCTCCGACCTTTCCTCCTCCCATAGAAGATGAAAATACTTTCCGAAGAGTGTCGCTCTTCTTCTTGTCCTGTACGTTACCCGCGTCCTCTTCCTGTAACTTCGGACCTGGGCTGTTATCGCTATCTGAATTTTCTGGAGAAGTAGCTCTAGTCGGTGGTGCCCTTGGCCTTGGAGGTACTCTATATTCACAATAAATCAAATTCATTAAATCTTTTTACTTAATTCAATTTTATCGTACAAGCCCTCTTGCACAATAATTTACCACCCCTTCAATTGTGCAAGAAGATCCTGTTCCTTAATATATAAGACACTTACCTGGCAACCTGAATACGATTTCTCACGGACAACTCAGACTCGCTATCAGAATCAGACCCGCCAACATTGGTCACCCGTGAGTTGGACCTTCTAGGTTTCGCCTTCGCGGGACTCTTTCTCTTCTCTTGCTTCTTCGGCGAATCTGCCAGTTTACTCCTTTTGATAGGCATTCTTCTCCAGCGTGTATTATCATCATCGGAGGCACTGTTGTTTTTTCTATTTGGCGGGCGTTCATCTTCGCTGGAAGATGCACTCAACTTGGATCTCTTTTCGTTTATTGGGACTACTACGGGTGACACCCTGGTCGGTCGATCGCTATCCGAGTCGCTAGAAGCTCCCTGTGATCTGTCATCGCTTCCATCATCGCTGGTCGTTATGGTGGGTTTCGAAAGAGGCGCCTTCTTCTTGGGGCTACCCACTCCTCTCGTTCTGTTACGAGGTTTACCATTTTTCAGATTTTCTTCTGGCGTCCGATGACCACCTTTCGTATTCTTGTTGGTAAGCTTTCTGGGACGACCCGGAGGTCGACCTGGTTTCCTGGTGTCCGCCACTTTTGGTTTTTCTGGCTGATTTTCCTCCACTGGCTGATTTTTCTCTTGATCCGAGGGACGATCACTGTCACTGTCCAGCACACTGATCATTGTGGCGTTACGAGTGCTTTTCAGGGCCTCGTCGAGCTGCCAATCATGAGCTGCCTTTTCCCTGTGCGTTCTAGCGTCCGTCGTTGCCGCCGGAGAACCTTCTCGCCTATTGCAATCCTGTAAAAAGTAATTCTCTAATGTAACTGTCCTGATACCAGTGGGCAAAAATATATTTAGATGGAATGCCCTGACTCAAAAAA